TACAATTCGATGACTTGGTTCATATTCATTTATCACTTTTTCCTCAAGCACTGAAAATCAACCATCGATGATGAAGCCATTAAGCATAATTATTTGTTTAATCATTTGTTTGTGTTGATGACAACAATCTCGTGGTACAAGTTACTCTATCTGGAGAAGAGAACGATAGTAAACGCTTGTTAGACTGTTCAATAATCACACAGGCGTTGCGGATTAAACAAATTGAAGAATTCTTACTTTAAATCATTTGAAAGAAAGACAAATATGCGACCAACTAGTTGTCAGATTAGCACTAGAGATTGTCAAAATCAGTTCTAGTTTCAACCTGAGGAATAGTTCAAAATGCTCCCTGATAGAATTTTATTGAAAATGGATACGGCGAATTACAGTATCCTCTATATTCCTACCGTATCCCTAACATAGCCTCCGTATTCCCGACGTATCATTGGCGGTGTGATGGGATATAGAGGATACGATGATCTGCCATTTCGTCGTTCATCTAATCTATTCGAACAAGTCCTCTGATTGGAGTTGGACTCATCGAACAGATCAATTCTATGAACTGATCGAGCCGATATTGATCAGTTGCCTATCGATAACTTTTCACTGTTTCTGGGAGATGATTCCAATAATTTTTCCATGTCTATCTAAAAGTGAGTAGTCTCTGCAACTATCCAGAGTCAATCCAAGGATGTTTGCTATAGATTTTGGGGTAATATTCGTGAGTGGCCTCTATGACTGGTTTTGGAAATACCCAAAGATAATCTCGATAGCTTTTTGAGGACTACCTTCGGAGTGATCCTTATAAATATTTTGCGACTACGGGTGTACAGATGTGGATGGGTCGGAGCGTATAGGTAAGCTTGTAGATCGGTGTGCGGCTATGTGGCTGGTATTCGACTGGATGCGTTGGGTCTGGCTGTCAGTGCCAGTGTAGATGTTAGTGGATGAATATGGCTGCAAGCGGCAAGCCCCATCCATATTCATAGACTTTCACCCACCAAAATCTAGTTCACCAGCTCACCTACATTCATACACACAAGTTCAGCAATATCTACAACTTTTCGAGCACTCGTCAAGCTCTCATCATATGCTTTTTGAAAGTTTGTTTGAGAAACTCATGCAAACGATATCAAGCGTATTTAAGAACATTGATTGCCATTTTCTGACTGACGAATTGTCAAGAGTACGGTTTAAATGTATTTGTCTAGAGATCTTTGTCATTTCAATACATCTATTTCCCATCATTTACATGGATTTCTGATATCAAAAACTTTCAACAGTTGCATCCCATAAATTAAGAAATATGAAATAAAATACATTTGATGTTGACATTAATTCGAACGGATATGAAATAATATCTACTTAGCTCTAACTAAAAATTTTGGCTACGTTGTTGACAATTTTATACAGCAATTAACAATGACGAATCTGTTGCATGAATAAGTAAGAGAATGTCTTGTGTATAACAATGTATATTTGAAATCTGTTTTGGGTTTAGTTCAAATATTTTTCAGATACAACCCAATACATAAATTTTGGAAATGGCTAATAAATTCGATCGATACTGTATTCAAATTCGCCCTATTTTTGGAATCGATGCAAAAAACAAATCACGAAGAATTTACAACAGCATTAGGATCTAATGCTTCAGCATATCGAATAGTTGCCAGATGGACAAAGGGTTTTCATGAAGAAAGAGAAGGTGCTAATGATGACACTCAATCTGATTGTTCATTCGCGAGCTTACAGATGTAAATATTGAACTGATATAACAAGTTATCAGCAGCAACCTGTCTTCAACTTATAATGATATTATATAGCAGAGACTCCTTTCATTCATGGTACAATAGAAATAAGTTATCCACAATCGTCTGAACTCAAGGATGAACAAATGCAACAACAAGTTAGAATTCGTCGTAATAATTTGGTGAAATTTCGTGATCGATCATGGCGATTATGCAATATTATTACTGGTGATAAGAAATAGTGCTATCATAGACAAGTTGAGCGTAAATCGACCAATGCAAGCTAGATGAGTGAATGTGAATTACCAACGACTGCTGTTTCCCCAAGTAGGTTTAAACTAAAAGCTTTGTTTTCTATATTCTTTAAACCAAATGGTCTTGTTCTTATACATAGTGTAGATGAAAACAAGACTATAGTTCACCACTATTATATTGGAAATTGCTTCAAGCCTGTAGTCAATGAAATATTGAAACACAGTAAGTCATTAGATGCAAAAGATATAAAATTACTTCATGACTATGCTCGGCTTCATACTCATCCAGATGTTATTAGTTATTAGATACAAGAAGGTATCAATATCATGCCGCATCTACCGTTTTCAGTAGACCTTGCAACACAACACGTGGTTTTTAGTTAAACAATTAATGTTTGAGAAATTGTTAGAAAGGATGAAACTTTGCTTAAATATTTATGGTGACTGTTTTGAACATTAAATAATATAAAATAATAAAAATGTCTTTATTTTTTCTATTTTCTATTTAAGGTTGTCGGAACCTTTGGTCAACCTTAAGTATCTTATGATTTTATAATTCCTTCTAAGCGCTGATTCTATTGAAGACTTGAGCGTAGTTGAATGTTATGGTGCTCAATTAGAGTCCTCTGAGCAGTCTTGAATTCCGAAAAATCTTGTTAGCATTCCGTCTGCAGGACACTTGAGATCAAGATATTTTGAAAATAAACGAGATTCGGGACTAGAAAAAAGTTTGTCCTTCAGGACTCTCGATAAAACTCTTCATTATTAGTCATTGGTGACAATCATTGTTTTCATAAATGAATCTAAGATAATGTTTAGTCTTAATGATTAGTTGAAAATTCCTCGCAGCTAAATCAAGTTATCTGTTTGGTCATTTTTCATGAAAGGTATTTCAATCCGGTATAAAATCTTAAACCTTGGTAAATTTGAATTAATTCTTTATTATTGTGCCATTAGTATTTGGCTGATTAGTTGACACCCTTGAAGATAGTATTAATTTTAAGGAAATAAACAAATACTCAAAATTAAAGAGAATTATTTCTCTCTGAATAATAAGCAAAATCTTCATGAAGAAAATTAGTTTTCAATGTTTTATAATACGAGATTAAATGAATTTCATCCGTTTGCGAAAGACTATAGACGATTACTTAGATGAATGCTTCTGAGATATTCAAATCAATTAACTAGAACAATCTCTGCTTCAAACGAAGATTGATATAGGTAATGATGGAAATATAGTCTGCACCATAACTGAATGACTCTTCACATCTCCATCATTATGACAAACAGAAAGAGCATAACGAATTGTTGTCATAATTGTCATTGCGTAAGGCTATGACTATGGTAACAAAAAGAATTCAAGAAATTATTTTTCTCAATACTTCATCCATATACGACATGCGCGAGTCTTCCCATATCGTCTATTTACGTAAACTATCGCCGCTATAATGTGGTACTTGAAGAAACCACTAGTACGTTGGCCATAAACTGACAGTCCAAAAATGTGCGGAAGTATACAGATATTTATCTAGATAAATTATTAGTTTTTTCTTTTATCTAGATCAATTTGGACATCACAATAAACGGTAAGGGTTTATTATACAAATTATTATAATTTTCTTTCATTTAGATCAATCTCAACTCCAAAGAAAAACGTAATTATTTATACAAATTATTTTTTTCTTCGTTTATATCAATCTTAACATCACAATGGATAGTAAGTATTCATTTATAAAAGTACCTTGTTTCCTCTCATTTAGAGCAATCTTAACACCAAAAGGAAAAGCAAGTACTTTTTTTATACAATTTGTATTTTTTCTTTTATTTAGATAAATTTGAGCATTATATCGTCAACGAAATGATGAAGCAAAGAAAAATCAACGATGGTTAATCATATCTACGATTCGTAATCTTATGAATCTAAGAATAAATACAAATTGTATTGTTAAAAAAGTTGTTGAATGAGTTTTGTTAATAAAAAAATCTTCTATTCTTCATATTTATATATGGCAAGTTGTTTTTTAGTAAAATCTAAGTGTTTCTGAGGAAAATATGAATAGCAATTAGATTGCACTAAAAAGTAACTTACGATATATAAATATAAAAAATAAGAGAAGCTTTTATTAACAAAACTCACTAAACCAATTTGCTACCTATGATCATTTACATTTATTTTTAGATTCATAAGACTACAAATCAGTGGGTTCGTACCCTGATGCTACTGGTAAAGCATGAAATTATCGTCGCTTTGTTGCTGATAAATCACTAGTTTCTGCCACTACCGAAAAACACCGCCGGTTATTCTCCGGTCCGCATTACATGGGCTAGTTCAACTAATGAATATCCTATTTAGATGCTCACCTGATTACAGATGAACGGAACTTCATATGAGTCCGAATGATTAATATTCTCATTATGCATCAATTTCTAAACTACTTGTCCGATAGAATATTGTTCCGACTTAAATTGATGCACACCTAGTTCATATTCACTATATTTTGTTCATTAATCAAAATAAAATACGCAGACATCTGTTTACTCCTGAATAAATACCATTCTATTTTTCGCTCTTTCTCTTTAGTGTCTCTTATTCATTTTAAACTGATGACTGAAGTTTAAACAAAAGTGTCCTACATAAATCCTATGCTTTTTTATGCTGATAATTCATCAAGTTTCTTCACTACTTGAGAAACTGTTCTATCATCTTTTGCTTTCCCCTTTCTGTTCTTTATTCTGCTCTTTCAAAACAAAGTAATTTATTGTCATTATCCACCGTGACCATAACATTATATGAACTTACGACTTTTCTTATTATGTAAAATATCCTTGGATAAAAAATAGGAAGAAATATAGAATAGAAAAACATCAGTAGGTGAAAATCATAAACATCGATAAAATTCTACAATTGCTGGGTCGTATAACTAAAAATAGAACAATTATATTATTATTTCAATAAAATCTTACGAATAAATTTATTTGCCCTATTATTTTATTGTAGATGGATAATTTCGATACCGATATATACTTCGAATTTAAAACATATAAAGAATTCCGAAAAGAACGATTAAAATTAAACTATGATAATACATTAAAATTATGGTATGCACTACCTAATGGTCTACCAACAAATGATAACAATCGAGTTAGACGGCAAACACCTAAACAACAACGAGCACGTTTAAGAAAAATGAAATTTTTTGCTTTCTATTCTATATTTCTCAAGAAAACATTCCTCAAAAAGAAAATTCATTCAAAAGGTAAATAAAAAACAAAAAACTAATATGATGATTAATCGAGAAATTCTTATACAAAGATTTAATTTCGCTTAATGTATATTTTCAAGGTTATTTTCGATAAAATTATTGAAAGAATATATATTAGATTATTATTTGTTTATGTCAAAGAATAAAATTCAAAAAGATCACGTAAAAAAAATTTTTGGATTTTGCTATTTACTGTAACGCTTGGAACCGCTCACATAGGGATATATAAAGATAACTTAAAATCACAGCAAGAAAAATCTAGGAAATGGAAGAAAATTTTCATTGATATGGCACTAGGCTATAATGTAACATTTTAAACCACATGGAGAAGAAAAAAAGCTAAAAGGAGAAAAGAAAAGAAAAAACGAATACAAAGAAGAGATAAAGAGTACGAAAAAAGAGAGGAAGAACAGGATGAAACGAATAAGCATAGAGGAAGAGAAAAAAACAAAAATGAGACACATGAACGCACATGTAGTCATTTAATCAGCAAAATCAATTCACTTCAGCTGCAAAGATTCATGTCTCTCTTTCAATTTGTTCACTCTTCTCATTCGAAAGGAATGATCAGGGTTATCTCTTTGCCTTTTGTTGTAATCGTCCTAAAAGAATATATCATGATAGAAAAATAGATCGTCCTAAATCAGACTCAAGGCTTTGACTTCAATCTTTTTCCTATGTATCTTTTAGCGTAAAAGTCGAATGGTTCTTCATTTGTTACTGAGAACAAATTCTGTTCTGACACATAGGGATATTGATGTATCAATCTCATTCCAATTCGAAACTTTCATTTTAAAGTTTCTTGCTGAGCTTTTAACAGAAAATAAACTAAAGGAAAAAGCCAGGAGAGATCAGAAAAGTAGAGACAAAACAGCATGTTTGTAATACTGATGTTGATTATGATTTTTCTGCTTTTAACCACTTCAGTTTTCCGAGAGACCTAATCATGTGATTTGAGATCAGATCAAAGCCTCAGGATTGTTTTCGATGTAAGCTTCTTTATATATTTTATGATTTCAAAGGCACCTTTTCTCTGTAGTTTTTCATGCACGATCGCTAAATTATTTTATAGTGAGTCGCATTCTTTTTCGGTTTCTACATCGTTGGGATCTATTTGATTTATATCAAGCGTTATAAATTGCTCATCATAGTAACGATACACTTCTTTACATATTTCGGTTTGTCTCAATATGATTCTTTTTGCCATTGGCAAGTTACGTGAAAAATTTATTACTTTGAGATAGATTATGAAAACTTTTTGTTTCATTTTTTATTCTATGATAGTAGTTTTGAAATCAAAACAAAAATAGAAAAATATACTTTAATGGAAATTTAGTTTCAGCTTTTCTTGAAGGTTTTCAACTATGGAATGAAACATTAAATGTACCCACATTAAAAGATGAATCTCTTTATGGGATGTATCAATCAATGGGTCGAAACACTGCGGAATTCTTTAATAAAGCACGACAATATGATGATACAATCAGTTATGAAGAATTATTTAAAGCTAGCCGAACTCTTTGGTTTATGATTGCTTTTCAAATGCAACTCAATTTACCCTTAATTTTAACTGATTCTATGTTTGGTTATAATATGCTTTATCCATATACAGATGATTTAGTCGATTGCAACGATATAAGTCGTAAAGCAAAAGTCAATTTCGCAAAACTTTTTCGTAAACGTCTACTGATCGGTGAATCAACGTATAATCCTAAAGTACATTTTGATGGAAAACAATCCAATGTTGCTGAATTAAATTTACCATCATCATTACAACCACAAGCTAATCGTATAGTAAAAATATTTGATATGATTAAATTTATTGAAAATGATTGGAGACGTGGTGGTGAACATGAAAGTGTTTATATGGGTTTAGCTACAATACATGAATCGCAAATGAAATCAACATTACAACATGCAAGAACTGAAGATGATTATGCACCAACAATGGCACAAGTTGAACAAGTTAGTGCTGAAAAAGGCGGTGCAACATTAATAGCTGCTGGACTCTTAATTGAAGGACGATTAACGAGAGCTAAAATGGCTTATTTAGAATATTTAGGATTTGGTTTACAATTACTTGATGATTTACAAGTTTAACTTTTAAACGTTTAAATTAATTTTGAACAGAAAATTTTTTCTTTTGCTTTTTCAAGGATGTAAAAGAAGATATGAAGAATAATCATCGAACAATTTTTACTCAAACTCTTGCTGAAGATCAAACATTAGATGCACCAACGGCACGTCTTATACAATATTGTTATTGTAAACCAGCATTTGAAACATTTAGTGATGATCAACGCACAGTTTCAGATCGAAAAACTGGTGTTACATTAGCTGAATATATTCGAGTTTCAATGATGATGTTTTCGATTGTATTGATTTTAGAAGCTGCCTCTCAACTACAAGAATATTATTCAAAAGAATTCTATCGTGAATTATCTTCATTAAGTCCAGTTACATTTAAAGATCTCAAGCCAGCTCGTATTGAAGAAAGAGTTTGGGCTATTGTACGAAATCAAAGGCTTTAATAAATTATTTTTCAGTCTTTTATTTAAGAATTGTGATAATTCATTGATTTTATTGACACTTGCTTTGTACATATAAATCATATATAACAGGACTTTTTTAAATTTATTATTAGAATAAAAGAGCGTAGAACGACTATTACTCATCAATCGAAAGGAATGAAACAGAAAGAGCAAAGAATATGAGTCTTGACTGGAATTCGAACTAGGGTACTCTCACAACTGGCTGTTAGCCAGACGCTTTTATCATACTATCGAGACATACTCTTAGTCCAAATCCAAATTCAATGTGAACATTTATTTAATCTTTTCGAGTGATGAATAATAGCCGTTCTACTATCTATAATTCGAATAACATGTTTCATGTTTTTTTTTGCCAAAAAAGAAAAAATATGAATGATAACAATTAATCAGGCTTGTATAGTATGAAGATATGTTTGAAAAATGATTAGTTATGCTTCCCAAAATATAATTCATATATTAGGAAACAAATTTTTGTCAACTTTTGATAAGCTAATCTACTTTACTTATGCTACTATGAGTCTTGACTGTAATTCATCAAGGTAAGATCTAGTCTACATTAGGAAAATAATGCAGCTTTCGAAATGAATCGACATGCATCCGCACATGATATAGAATGCACCAATGAAAAATAACACTGTGCCACTTTGATGTAGTCGAAATGCCTAGATACAACGCACTTATGCAGAAGGAAATATTGTGTTTCGGTTCTAGGCAATCGGAGAGGAGTCACCAGTGAACTATATTCAATAATGAAGTCTTTATTTAAGAATAGAAGTTATCGATGTATGAGGTGCTCTAAGTATGTTACATTCAAGAAAAAAAGTTTTTTTTAATCAATGGCATTCATGTTAGACTCCAAAAATAAAGCTCAAAGAAATACATTTTAAAATTTACTTATACAAAAAGTTAGAATTAAAATATATAAATTCACATTTTATTCACATAATAGCCTAAGTTAAAAAACCAGCACAGATACAGCATAAAAATTTAAATAGAATTTTGTAAAAAGTATTGAGTTAATGCTTTTCTCATTGTCGAGGCACCCGTTGTTTGTGTCTTACATGTCGGCTTTCTGAAAATTGGTTGGTCAATATTCCGGTCAATCTCGATGGCATTTTGAGTGTCGATACATATATTGAGTAATATATATGTAGCTTCAATGATGATTTTAAAATATTCAATATCATATTCAAGTTTTTTTATGAATAGACCTAAAACATATTTCAAATGTCCAAAACCTCTTTCTACAGTACTTTTACAATGACTACTCTCTAAAAAAAAAGGAGTTTTGCAGAACCTTTTTTGGGGTTCTGCCAGTGGGTACTACACAGAACCCCAAAAAAAGGTTCTGCCTGTAAAAAGGTTCCGTAGTAAATTAGCGAAACCATTTCTGCTTTTTTATTAAAAATGGTTCTGTCCTACGTATAAAGTGTTACACCTTTTCAATGCTACACCCCTCTTCTATACCCTTATACTATATACTTATTCTATAACTTTATTCTATGCCCTTACAACTATACCCTTATTCTATATCCTTATTCTATAGCCTTATCCTATGCCGTTACTCTATAAACTTATTCTATAACCTTATTCCACGCCCTTACAACTATATCCTTATTCTATATCCTTACCACTATAACCTTATTCTATGCCCTTACTCTATAAACTTATTCTATAACCTTATTCCATGCCCTTACAACTATATCCTTATTCTATATCGTTATTCTATACTCTTATTCTATACCCTTATTCTATGCCCTTACAACTATACAACTTACTCTATACCCTCATAACTATAGCCTTATTCTATATCGTTACCACTATAACCTTATTCTATACCCTTACAACTATACCCTTATCCTATGTCCTTATTCTATATCCTTATACTATAACCTTACTCTATATCCTTCCCACTATAATCTTATTTTATGCCCTTACAACTATACCCTTATTCTATATCCTCACAACTAGAACCTTACTCTATATCCTTACCACTATAACCTTATTCCATGCCCTTACAAGTATATCCTTATTCTATATCCTTATTCTATATCCTTACTCTATACCCTTATTCTATATCCTTACCACTATAACCTTATTCTATGCCCTTACTCTATAACCTTATTCCATGCCCTTACAACTATATCCTTATTCTATATCCTTATTCTATACCCTTATTCTATGCCCTTACAACTATACCCTTATTCTATACCCTCATAGCTATAGCCTTATTCTATGTCCTTATTCCATATCCTTACCACTATAACCTTATTCTATACTCTTACAACTATACCCTTATTCTATGTCCTTATTCTATATCCTTATTCTATATCCTGACTCTATGTCCTTATTCTATATCCTTATACTATAACCTTATTCTATAACCTTATTCTATATCCTTATTCTATATCCTAATTCTATATCCTTACTCTATACCCTTATTCTGCACCTTTACTACTATAACCTTACTAGGAAGACCCCGCGCAAATGGATACTGCGCGGTGTGTCTCTATTTCTTTGCTCCAAGTCAAAACTTAAAAGTCAACTCGTCACCCACTTCGTCTACTGACGACCCCGCCCCCGTTGACCTTTGACCAGGCACAGAGAAACAGATACACACTGAACAATAGTTGTACACATCCTGTTTCATTATTCTAGACCCTTACAACTATACCCTTATTCTGTGGCGCTAGATCTATATCCTTACTCCAAGGGGGAAACAGCGAACTTCAAGACTTTAGGACTTCAAAAAACTTCAAGAACTTCAACGAACTTCAACCATAGTGACTTCAAATTCTCACAAAACTGCTAAAGACTTCATGGGACTGCGCGAGATTTCATGAGACTTCATAGGACTTCAAGAAACTTCAAAAGACTTCAGAAGAGTTCAGGGACTTCACGAGATTTCGTGACAGAGAAAAAATAGAGGACTTCAAGACTTCACGAGACTTCAAAAGGTTTCAAAAGGCTTCAGAACTTGATTGGACTTCATGAGCGAGGTTCCCATTGTTTCCCCCTAGCTTTACTGTATATCCTTATTCTATATCCATAGTAGCTAGAGCGGGTGCAACCTGCACGACTGCTTTTTTTTGATACACATAGACATTCTCTATATTTTCTGCAGTCCTTATAAACTCTGATACTCCTTCTACTACATATACTCCCAATATTCCTTATGCGGCCCATATCCCCTATATTTCTATACTTCCTACATCTCTTCTATATTCCCTATACCTCCTATACCATCTGTATTCTCTACACTTCCTATATCCGTTATATTTTCGATATCCCGTGTATCTCTATACCCCCGATATTTCCTATACCCTCTGTATTCTCTATAGCTTCTGTACGTCTATACTCCATACATTCTCTATATTCCCGATCCGCCGTATACTCTTTATACTACCTACGTTTTAGTAGAGTCTATATAATCCTGGAACCCTCTAAAACTAACAATAATCCATACGACCTTTGAACCGGCGGAGATTAAGGTTTGACCCTTGACCAGAGAACATTCCATAAAATTGTGGAAAGCTTCAGAAGTCTCTAGATTCGTGGTTACGTCCACATCGTTCGAGAAAGGTGTAGAAAATTCCAGAAGTGTTTGGCCTTTAACCTTGAACCTTTGATCTTTGATCTTTGATCTTTGATCTTTGATCTTTGATCCGGTAACAGACGGACAGACAACCGTGCTTTATTATGTAGATTCTATATCCTTATTCTATACCTTTATTTTATATCCTTACACTATATCCCTATTCTATGCCCCTAGAACTAAAGAAAAACCCAATATATTTATATTTCCTTTCTTGACCGACACTCAAGACGTGACATATACTTTTGTAGTTGTTTACTATATTTATTTTAAATAACCTAGGTATTGTTAGTACGTTGGTGATTTATTTCAATCTTATCATGAAATAAATAGCAGCTAAATGACATAAATAAAGTGAAAATGCTGAAAAAGAAAAGAAAGTTCATTTTATCTTGATAATATAAGTAGATAAAAACATTTTCGATGGTTGACAAAAATCGTTCACTTTGTACAGTAACATATCACGAAGTAAAAGAAATGAAAACTACGTGTTGAAATAGTCCTGTAGAATGTTCTCTAAACTATATTTAAAAAACATGTTTTATATCGAGCTTTTGAAAAGAAGTTTTCACAATAATTATATGGTGAACCATATTTTCTTTGTCAAATCCTTCTATCATTCCCTATTTTGACTGAGAAACCCCGAAGAGTTCTGCAGAATTAACAGAACCTTTTCTGTTCCAATATCTTTGGGTAAAACACTTTTGATAGCTCAGCATTTTTTGACAGAACCTTACGAGGTTCAGTATTATTGGGCGGAACCTGTTCAGTGCAGCGTTCTTGGACGGAGAGCTTTTCATGGTTCAGCATTTTTCTGACGGAACCTTACAAGGTTCAGGAATATTGGGCAGAACCTTTTCGGTTCTGCACTTTTGGACAGAGAACATTGTATGGTTCAGTATTTTTTTGGCAGAACCTTACAAGGTTCAGCATTATTGGGCAGAACCTTTCGGGTTCCGGAATTTTAGACAAAGAACTTCTTTGGTTCAGCATGTTTTTGGCAGAACCTTTCAAGGATTCAGTAGTATTGGGCAGCACCTCATCGGTTCAGCATTTCTAGAAAGGGAACATTTGATAGTTCAGCATCA